CATATTTGATTTTCGTCGTAACTGCTGCCTCCAACGTCCGGCTTGCGTCCCGTCAGGTTCCCTGGATTCTATGGTATAATTAGATTATTAAGTATAATTAGGTTAGCAGCCTGCTGGACAGAGTTCTGGGTGGCTGTTGCGACTGTCAAGCCTGGAGTCAGAGCATTTAACTATGGAATACGCCTTCTAGCCAGTCAGGCTCCTATGAGGGTTACCTTGTATATTTGTTTTATGTCACTTTACGTTTATTGAATTTTCACTAAAATATTAGCAGTTAGACATGTGCAGACTTTGTAACTTGATATTTTCACAATGCAGGCACTTGTTTATTGTCATGAACTTTAAAGGTAGTCAGGGTGTGTCATTAAATCATAGTATGAGGGGTTATAAAATGTTACGTGTGCCTGGAAAATTCATTCAGTTCTGTCACATGCCGTTAGTGCCTTCTAATTCTTTGTGCTCATAGTAGAGATGCATTAAACTCCAATATCTTGAATGCTTTTCTCAGTTCAGATCAGACAATTCCAGAATCAAAGTGCCAAATGAGCATTCCCACTAAAGGGAGAGTACACCCCCCCCCCCCCCCCACCTGCAAGTAAAATGCACTGTGCCCACCTCCCTGGGCCGTAGCTGTGCATGTGTTCCTGACCACTGAGTGGCAGTATGGGCTGTGCCGTCTCCACCTTACCTTTGGAGATTTTTTTTCTTTTCTTTTCTTAATAGCTGTTTTTTCTATATCAGCCACTTATTTGTCTAACACCCTATAGTCTTTGGTTTTTCCTGATTGGCCTAAGAGTTTGGAATGCTTACCCTGCTATATCCCAGCCAATCAAATGCTTAAAAGAATATAAATAATTTAGAGCAACTGAAATTTTCTGCTTTAATGCATGAGTTCTTCATCAGCCCAATTTTGTTTTGCTGCTCTAAAACAGGAACTGAAAGTGCTCACAGCAGTAGTGGCATAATCTGAAATGAGCATTATTCAGATGATGACAGTGTCAGTATGCTAACCCCCATCTGCTCTCGTATGTTCTTGCTTTAGCATTCATGGAAAACGTTATGTGGGGTTTGCAGAAAGACAATCACTGCAAAGAATGGATGAACTACAGATATGCCTCAAATTTTTATATAAAAAAATTTAGGAATGTCAAATCACCTTCTTAAGACCAGTATCTTATCAAACGTACTGGCTAGCTTGGAATCAAAACTAATTTACAGATCTTTACACACTTCATTCTCTTCTGTACACTGTGGAAGAAATTTTATGAAAATCTTCATGTATGGTAATTTAAATGTGTTATTTTGGCCATACTGACTGCCCCTAAAAGACGGACATACTCCCAGCAACGCCACAGCTTAGTAGCTAATTGTCTGACCTACAAAGCTCATCCCCTACACTCAAGTTTCAGAGATCATCATCTAACCATCATATCCAAGAATTTCCAGAAAAAACAAACCTTGACCTTCCACCCCAAGTTCACACATTGACTTTTTCAGTTTCAAAGCTTACTTGCTATTCCTCTGTGCGCTGAGTCCACATGTGTGCTTGCTAACTTCTTCTGGAGCTGCTGGCTAACCCTCCCCCCACTCTCTGCACCTTCCAGGTAAGATGGCTTATGTCTTTATCTTTTCATCTGTCTTTGTACATGAGCTCGTCTGCATGTATGTCAGTGCGGTTCCTACCTCAGCTGCCCCCTGGGAAGAATTCATACGCAGTCAGATCATGGAATAACTTAAAATGTTGCTTAGCTGAATCTTATTCGAAACAACTTGTAAGTTTTACAGCTGGCTGTTTGAACAAAGCATTTCAGGATAAGTATTTTGCTAATGGGTATGATCGCAGGGCTCCTCCTTCCAGGGTTGACTCCTGTGTCCTTAACCACTGCTGTTTTTCCCTACTATAACTGTAAAGCTCTCATTGTGTTGGCTTGCATGGAACCAAGGATGAGTGCTTCATGGCCACTTGTTGAGTTGCCATGTTTGTGGTACATGGGCATGCCTATGCTGTTATGAGCAGCCTCCCTGGGGCTTTAGCTGTATGTTTGTCTGAGCACCAGGTAGCAATGTGGTTTTCAGAGGTATCTCATGGGATACTCCTACTAGTCAGAGAGCATGATTCTGACACACCCATTTAATCCCCTGCAGAGCTGCATAACGAGGCCAACGGCCAGCAAACTTGGTGGAAAGCAGGTGTGACCTCAAGTGAGGTGGAGGGGAAGGAGATGATGGAAGAGCAGGAGGAAGAGGAGGAAGACCGAGGTCTCCATGATGGGAAGGAGACTGCTCTTGGCCTAAACCCTGTCCTGGGTGTATCAGAGGAAGAGCCTGACCAGGAGATACCCCCCAACTGTTCTCCTAAGTTCACCTCCCAGCTACCAGAGCTCGCAGCTGATAGTCAGGGGGCAGTCTACGCAAATGCAGTGCAAGAGGATGGCACAGATGTATTTGCCAATGCCCCTTTCCCTCGGTCCCAGACCTCTTCTCAGCAGCCGGATGTCTTTCTTCAGGCTCCATTTTTGAAGAGGAAAGAGCAGACTCCAGGGCACATCTCTCGATCGTCCCAGCCCGAGGTACAGATCCCTCTCACAGCCACAGTACACCCAGTGGGCCCCTCACAGAAGAACCCTCGACCCCTAGACGTTCCTCTGCCTCAGCAGCCGGTGGCAGCCTACCGTGTGGTGACAAATGTGGGCCGGCAGGCGGCCGTGGGCTCTGTACCTGTGGGCCCGTTGCACTCCTGGACCTCAGAGGGGAAGCCCAAACCTGTGGTGGACCCTTTCGTTACGGCACCATTCCTCTCTCGGGGTCGGCAGGCTAGGCCCTGACGCTGCCAGTAGACTCTCTTTGGGGAACTTCACTCAAATCACCCCCACCGTCTACCAACGGCACGTAGAAGTGGAGCAGTCTCCCTATCTTGTTTGCACAATTTACCTTTAGTGTTTTTAGAGGTTGCGTTAGATGCTGGAGAAAAATACACGGGACCTTGGAGCCCAGTTCAGTCCCAGCCACACCACTGTTCTGTGGCCCTGTGTTTCAGCCTGTTGGGTCTCCGTCCGCATGGCCTACCTCAGCACCCAGTCTCCCTGTCTCAATCTGAAACCAATGTATAGCCCTCACAATACTCATTTTAAATATCTGTGGACTATGGAATCAAATCAAGATATAGCATGTCTTTTTGCACTCAACGTCATATCATGGTCTAGTTGTAAGTGGCCATACCACTAATGGCCAGTTTGGACATTCAGTGGAAATTGCCATCCCTGCTGGACATGGCATTGCCTTGGTCCTCAAAGTTCATGTTTTAATCAGTGCAACATATGGACAGCTCTTAATTATTGTTGTTGCTGTCATTATTATTTGTTGCTATTTTTGTTCAACTGAAGTAAAATGACTTGTCTCTCAGATGCAGTATTTGGTGGCATGGCTCAACTTCCTTGCCAGAATTGCCACTATGTAACGTCTTGGAGTGTGATATGCACATTCATTCAGAATTACTGGGTGAATCTCACTTTCACCTGCCACTTGTTTTTGGTCCTTCCATCTATACTTGTGGTCTCCTGTCATTCGTCCACTTAATCTGTGTCATCAGTCAGCTGAACCTCAAACTGTAAATGGCCAGGCCTCCTGAACACGTGAGTCGCTGTGGCATGTGTTCCAGTGTTGGCTGCCAGGACTGTGCTTACATTTACTCAGAGGAAACCTGTATATTGATGGGAGGACATTGTGGAATGTTTCCACACCTTTGCCGCCAGGCCCTTTTGTTCCATCATGCCACCTGTCAGTTACTCTGCTGGCAGCAGCTCTGCTGTCTTTTTATGTCCATCTGGCGAACACTGAACATTAAGTCCGACATTAAAGTGAAGCCTTCCCTTCGACGGGCTTCACCAACTAGGTGCTCTTAGTTAATGAAGGTCAGAAGTGACCCATGCAACATCCCTCCTTACACTACTCACCTGCATTGCTGCAGTGCATTTGATCAGATCAGTCTGCTGCACCGAAATATGTATTTTAAAAAGATAATAGAAATGGCCACACTAATACAAGCGATTTGTAACTGTGAGTGCACCCCCTGGTGGAAGTAGGCAGAATCGTTTATCCCATTGAACCCATTCTCCAGCACCCTGTGCCCCCTTGGTGTTGAGAGGTGATGCAGTACACAATCACATCAGCCGTATCTCCCCAGGTATCCATGTGCAATGAAAGCCTTAATATGCAGGAGTCTGCATTGGTATATCTACAGCTGGACCCAGCTTCCTAACTTGGTACATGTGACTCCCATTGTGTTGTTGTTTTTTCTCTCTTATGTTTGTTACCACGTATGTTTCCTCCTAACAACTAGTAGTAATAATAATAATAATAATCATAATAATGCTGTGCAAAGTATCCTGCATACATGGTTACAGCCACTGTGATGTGAGTTACCCATAACACTTGCCTTTGAATGATGTCATAACTAGCCATGTACCATTAAGAGGAATAGTAATGCTAAATAAACATGAAACATGTCTTGTGTTTTTTAATTGGGATAACTGGCAGTAACTGCTTTCTGCATTTTTGCTGCTACCTCTCCCCTATGGATTATACCAGCATACACGGTATAGAAATGTTCAGTCAAGTGTGTTAATGTATATGGTAAATATCTGGCCCCTATGACTGGTGGGCTGTGCTCTCCTTAATTCTGTGTGTAATCTTCAGTCTAGCATTGCCCCAGAGCACAATGAAAATATGGACATGTGGTAGGTCAAGTCCCTTTCAGCAGGCCATTTTTACACCTCTACATTATGCTACTCAACCATCCATCTAATCTCTACAGTGGTCAGGATCCAGGGAAGGCCTGAAGTCTATCACAGAGCACAGGCCTGGG